TCACATTGTACCCCATAAATATGTTCAATTATTACATGTCAGTAAAAAAATCAACATATTTTTTGATGGATTAAATGTGAATTATTTTCTGTCCTTCTGTCTGTCACCACCTGCCCCACAGTGTTCTGGGCTTGTATCTTCCATTACTGCACTTCCTAAATAGCCTTCTGATTGCTGTTTCTTCTAACCCTGCCCCTCTACAATTCCAAATTCCAGTATAAGTAATATTTCTAAAAGTGCAAATCTGATTATTTACTACCTAAGTCCTTTCAATGACTTACTTTTGCCCTTTGGGTAAAGTCTAACTCCTACAAATAGATGTCATTCACTCTCTGGCCCCAGGACCACATGGCCATCCTCGAGGCAATCTCTTCCACTAAGCAAACTCCACTTTCTATCTGGCTATATTCTATTTATTCTCTAGTTCTGAACCTAAAGGTGTCATTCTCAAAAAAGCCATTATTAAGGAAGGTTTTGTTCCATTTTCATAGGATCCCATAAAATCCTAGTTTCTCCTATCATAACATGTATCAAGTTACATTATAATCACTTATTTAACTGAAGGTTTCTTCAATTGTTCATTAACTTTGAGGCAGTGTGCAATGTAATTGTCTTGTTTATTATTGTTTCCCTAGACCTTAAAGAACATCTGACATGGGGTACATAGCCAATAAATACTTTAAAAGAATGATTTAAAATTAACTAATTATGTATTTGCATTTCACATATGCACAATGGTCATTGAGACCTCCAAATTAACAAATGGTGTTTCGTAACAGCACACTAATGGTGTCATGAATTATATTTGTTAACAATTTGTCCTTAGAATGAGTTTACTTTTTCCTTAACTTAAAGAATGAATTTGTATTATGCCACAAAACTTAATTATAACAGTACATTTTAACATTTTACCTTAAAAATAATTACTTCAATCTCTGCTTAACTATAACTTACTTCACGTCCACAAAGTGAAAGTAAAACAGACTTTTTATTTCTACATGTTTAATTTAACTAGCAATCAGTAAGATGACAGAGAAACAGACAGATTAGATGATATTTTTTTCCTCTACTGTAACAAGTAGTGAAAGACTGAAGTGACTCTAAAATGGAAGTCAATGAGATGGAAGGATTACAAATGAAATAGGGGCATATTTAAAACTTTGGGGAAGGAATAATAATCTAAGTTTGCATGTGACTGATAAAATGAACTTCACATCAAAATAAAATTAAAGATTTAATAACAACAAACTGGAAAGTGTAAATTTATACTCTTTTTAAAAGTAGTATCCTTTCTAGTTCTAGCACTAATTTGGCCCAGCACCAATTCCATCCTACTACCAGACTTACTCATGGAAACATCTAATAGGTCACCTCAAATGAGAAGAATTTAATTTCTAATAACTTTTCTCTTCTTCTGTGATATCCATTTGAGTAATAGCTGATCCTGTGATGTGGAACACATTACAGCTGCCCAAAAGTGAGGAGGATTTCAAAGATATCTAGAATAGTGCTATCAGAACAATTGAGCTCAGTTAAAAAGGATTCTCATTGTCTAAATTCTGACAGTACAGACATAACACAGAAAATTCGATTATAATTTGTAACAAGTTGAATCTGTAAATAAAAGTATGACTCTAATTACTATCATAAAAATAAAATTTACTATTATGTTTGACAAGAAAGTTGTAATACAAATGAAAAGTGATATAGTAATTATATTTAATTTAGTAGTTAATTTTAAAGATAAGGAGGTGTAATATATAAAATATTTTTATCTCTCTATGAAGAATAAACTTATATAGATCTTAAGCCAAATCGTTTAAGAATAGTAAGACCCTACCAAAATAAATTGATTGTTATTGGTGGTCTTTCATCATATTTAGGAAGAAAGATATTTTAAATGGTTTAGCAAGATGAAGAAAGAAAGAAATATTTCACCAAACATGGTGAAACCCTGTCTCTACTAAAAATACAAAATCGAGCTGGCCATGGTGGCAGGTGCCTGTAATCCCAGGTACTTGGGAGGCAGAGGCAGGAGAATCGCTTGAACCCTGCAGGCAGAGGTTGCAGTGAACCAAGACCATGCCACTGCACTCCAGCTTGGGCAACAGAGTGAGACTCTGCCTCAAATAAATAAATAAATAAATAAATAAACCTCTATCTACTTAAAGCCACTTATTATATATCTTTTCAGAAGAAAATTTAACAAATATGTTTACAAAAATATTCTTAGTTTAATTGTAACTTCTTTTGGGGCTTAGTGACAGTTAATATTTTCCAGGCTTATACATTTGTGAGTTGCTTCCTCTGTCTTAATCACTTCCAAAGTTTTTAATAAATCCCATATATGATGACTCAAAGACTTGTATCTCTGTTGAAGAACCTTTCATAGAAAGCCAGACCCAATCATCACACTGAAATTGCCATTTAAATGTCTCAAAGCAAACTCACATTTAGCAGTCCCCCACACGATACATGTAACTTTCTTTCCAACACTGAACCCGCCTCTTCTAAGGTATTTTCTTAATGAAAAGAATTAATGGTCAATAAATTGCACACACCAAAAACCAAAACGTTTGTAGCCCAGTGTATCTTTTTTTTCCTTTTTCAATTTTTATTTTAGGTTAAGGGGGTACATGTGCTGATTTGTTAGATGGAAAAATTGCATGTTGCATGGGTTTGGTGTACAGATGATTTGGTCACCAAGGTAATGAGCATAGTTCCCAATAAGTAGGGTTTTTAGCCTCAATCTTTTCTCAACCCTTCACCCTCAAGAAGGCTCTGGTGTCTATTGCTCCCCTCTTTGTGTCCATTTGTACTCAGTATTTAGCTGCTGCTTTGAAGTGAGACATTGTGGTATTTGCTTTTCTGTTCCTGTGTTAATTTGCTTTGGATAATGGCCTGCAACTGTATCCATGTTGCTGCAAAGGAGACAATTTCATACCTTTTTATGGCTGTATAGTACTCCATAATATATTTGTACCACATTTTCTTTGTCCAGTCCATCATTGATGGGCATCTAGGTTGATTCTATATCTTTGCTATTGTGAATAGTGTTGTAATAAATATATACATGCTTGTGTCTTTTTGGTAAAATTATATTTCTCTGGGTATGTACTCAGTAATGGGATTGCTGGGTCAAATGGTAGGTCTGTTTTAAGTTTTTTGAGAAATCCCCAAACTGTTTCCACAGGGGCTGAACTAGTTTACATGTCCACTGGCAATATATAAGCATTTTCCTTTTTCTGCAACCTTACCAACATCTGTTACTTTGTAGCTTTTTAGTAATAGCCATTCTGACTGGTAGGAGACAACATCTCATCGTGGTTTTGATTTGCATTTCTCTATTGATTAGTAATGATGAGCATATTTTCATATGCTTGTTGACCGCATGTATATCTTCCTTTAAGAAGTGTTTAGAGGCCAGGTGCGGTGGCTCACACCTGTTATCCCAGCACTTTGGGAGGTCGAGGTGGGTGGATCACGAGGTCAAGAGATCGAGACCATCCTGGTCAACATGGTGAAACCCCGTCTCTACTAAAAATACAAAAAATTAGCTGGGCATGGTGGCACGTGCCTGTAATCCCAGCTACTCGGGAGGCTGAGGCAGGAGAATTGCCTGAACCCAGGAGGCGGAGGTTGCGGTGAGCCGAGATCGCGCCGTTGCACTCCAGCCTGGGTAACAAGAGCGAAACTCCGTCTCAAAAAAAAAAAAAAAGAAGTGTTTGTTCACATACTTTCCCCATTTTTTTTCCTAAAAAGATGCAACAAAAAGGATTTTTATTGTAGATTGACAATTTATAATTACATAAATTCATGGGTTACAAAATGATGTCATAAATTGTGGATACAATGTGGAATAATTAAATCAAGCTAGTTAACATATCCAATACTTAAATATATTTATGTGATGAGAACATCAACTTTGAAATTAAATACTCCATTATTAAGTATATGCATCACACTGTATAACATAACTCAAACTAAGTATAAAACATATTCTTCCTATCTGAAATTTTGTACCCTTTGATTGCCATTAATTATTTTTTTGAGACAGCATTACTGTGTCACCCAGGCAGTGGTGCAATCTCAGCTCACTGCAACCTCTGCCTCCCAGAGTCAAGTGATTCTCCTGCCTCAGCCTCCCCAGTAGCTGGGACCACAGGCACAAGGCAACACACATGGCCAATTTATTTTTTTGTATTTTTAGTAGAGATGGGGTTTCTCCATGTTGTCCAGGCTGCTCTCAACTCCTGACCTCAGGTGATCTGCCCGCCTTGGCTTCCCAGAGTGCCAGGATCCCAGGCACGAGCTACCATGCCTGGCCTAAAATTTTTATGAGACAAAATATCAATTTCAAAAGAGCATCAAAAAGTGAGCAGGCCAAGCACGGTGGCTCAAGTCTACAATCCCAGCACTCTGGGAGGCTGAAGGGTATTTTCCGTAGTAAAAATCCAAAAGTTACTAAAAATACAAAAAATTAGCTGGGTGTGGTGGCAGTTGCCTGTAATCCCAGATATTCCGGGGACTGAGGTAGGAGAATCTCTTGAACCCAGGAGGCGGAGGTTGCAGTGAGCACCACTGCACTCCAGCCTGGGCAATAGAGAAAGACTCCATCCCGAGGGGGAAAAAAAAGTCTTTGTTTCTACTAAATATACCAAAAAAAAAAAAAATTTAGCTGGACACTGTGGCTCGTGCCTGTAATCCCAGCTATCCAGGAGGCTGAGGCTGGAGAACCGACAGAATCTGGGAGGCAGAGATCACAGTGAGCCAAGAGGGCACCACTGTACTCCAGCCTGGGCAAGGGCAACACGAGTGAAACCTCATCACCTCATCACAAAAAAAAAAAAAAAAAAGAGTGAGCATATTTAATCATCCTCAGCTCATAATAGAGCAAACAGATCAACAGAATAATAATTCACACTATTGCATGTGTAATGAACTGGCAACAAGAGAAAGTTGGTTGAAGAAAGAGGAACTGTGTCTTGTAAGAATTAAAATCAAGGGGCTCCATAATCATCTGACATCTGTTCAACATTGTATCTATGGTTAGAAATGTATGTGATAGAAACTCCAGGAATCTTATGGATTCTTATTTTAAGGTCCGGGTCAACTGTGGCCACAACGTAACACTTATGGTGAGTTACTCTCTGTAATAAGCAGTCATCTACATAGGTTCCTTTGTGTGTACATGGTAAACGTTCAAATCTTGGATCCTTGGCGATCCTTAGAGCCACTTGATACTTCTGCCCCAATTTCTCAGTTTCAGCCATTATCTAATCAGTTATACAAGGGATACAGTTGGCATACAGACAGTCCATCATTGACTGCACTAAGTCCAGTTTGGCTTTTATGGAAACGTTGATAATGTTGGTATCAATGACGATGTGGAAAGGTGGGCCCAGCTGTGTATTATATTGGAAAATAAGCAGGAAGGGTGTTGAGGAACTTCTGTTTCCTTTAACATGCTGGAATCCTTCTTTTCTTTTTAGGTTTTAATCTACCCTTTTCTTTAAGCTTCTGATCTCTGAGACTAAGCATTCGCTTCATGGTCACATACTTCCTTGTTTTCTTTTGCTTCCCCATGGTCAGGCCACACTTCCGCCCATGTTTTAATGGGGTTGTTACTACTTGCTGAATTGTTTAAGTTCCATATAGTTTCTGGATATTAAACCTTTGTCAGATGCATGGCTTGCAAATATTTTCTCCGATTCTGTACATTGTTTACTTTGTCGATAGTTTTTATTTGCTGTGCAGAAGTTATTTGGTTTAACGATGTCCCACTTGTCTATTTCCTTTTCTGTTGCAAGCACTTTTGGAGACTTTGTCATAAAATCTTTGCCAAGCCAAAGCCCATGTTCAGAGTGGTATGTCCCATATTTTCTTCTATGGTTTTAATAGTTTTAGGTCTCATATTTTTGTCTTTGAGCTAATTTGATTTTTGTGTTTGGTGAAAGGAAGAGGTCCAGTTTCAATCTTGTGTGTATGGCTAGCTAGATATCGCAACATCATTTATTGAATAGGAAGTCCTTTCCCCATTGCTTGTTACTATAGATTTTGGTCAAAGGTCAGATGAATTGTAGGTTTGCAGCTTTATTTCTGGGTTCTCCAACCTGTTCGGTTGGTCTATGTGTCTGTTTTTGTACCAGTACCATGCTGTTTTGGTTGCTGTAGTTTCCCAATACAGTTTGAAGTCAAGATAGTGTGATTCCTCTGGCTTTTTCCTTTTTGCTTATAATTGCTTTGGCTATTCATGCTCTTTTTTGGTTCCATATGAATTTTAGAATAGTTTTTGTCCTAAATGTGTGAAAAATGATATTGGTCATTTGATAGGAATAGCATTGAATCTGTAAATTACTTTGGGCAGTATGGCTCTTTTAATGACATTGATTCTTCCTATATATGAGCATAGAATGTTTTTCCATTTGTTTGTGTTATCTTTGATTATTTTTAGCAGTGTTTCATAATTCCAGTAGAGATCTTTCACCTCCCTTTTTAGCTGTATTCCTAGGTATTTTATTACCCTCATGGCTATTTTGAATTAGTCCAGGATATCTTTCAACTGTCCAATTTTCCTTGTCTATCACTGTCACTCTAATCCATCATCTCTGGAGGTACACAAATAGAATAGCACTTTTAATGGTTTTTGTATATTTAAATTGTTCTTTTAAAATATATTCCTTATACCTTCAAACAGTGTGAACTTTAAAAAATGTGAATGGGAACAGGTCAGTAGGACACACACACACACCCCTTAATCAATTGTTTCCCATGTTTTACAGATAAAGACCGAAGCTATTAATATGGCCTATGTGGCCATGCATGATCTGTCGCCTATCACTTTCCATACCTCATGTGTCCCCCATGACTCCCTTTTCTCCTCTGTAGTCACAGATGGTCTCTAACCATATCATGGTTACTCTCTTCCCAGGATGTTTGAATATACTTTTCCCTTCGACCGAATGGGCCTAATTTTTCATGCTAATCGTTAGATCTTAATTTAACTAGAACTTTCTCAGAGATCTTTTTGACTGCGTTTGTGGCTCATATCTCCCAGTTATACACACTGTAGCACTTCCTAAGTATAACAAGGGCAGAATGTGAAATTTGGCCTATTATTTTATCAGAAGTTCTTAGCACAGTGTCTGCCCTTCATAATGGTGCTACAGATTCCTATTATTAAATATTTGATGAACATTTGATACATAATTTATAATTATGCTGGCTAAAATATATATTCAAGTGTTTATTATGAGATAGTTGAGATAGCATGAGCGATTCACTTTCTCTGCCCTATCTACATGATTAACAAACTACCTGGCGCATGTGTGTGTGTTTGTGTGTGTACATACATCTGGCATTAATACATATATATGTATGTATTTATATACACATACATACATATATGCATGCACATATATATGTATTTATTAATTCCTTTCTCTCTAGAAATACATCAGATTTTACTCTACTTTCTCCTGCACTTATTATGCAGAGGTTTCAAAAGTCATTTTTATTCTTTGGAGTAAAAGGGTTATTTTCCTCCTCTTTTGATTATAGAATTATTAATTTTTTCTTGAAATGTTTTATAAATTCATTAGGATAAGATTAAGTATTTGTCTTTTTTTTATTTTATTTTTCCATAAGTTATTGGTGTACATGTAGTATTTGGTTACATGAGTAAATTCTTGAATGGTGATTTGTGAGATTTTGGTGCACCAATTACCCATTTATACACTGCACCATATTTGTAGTATTTATCCCTTGTACCCTTCTCACTCTTCCACCTAAGTCCCCAAAGTTCACTGTATCATTCTTATGCATTTGTGTCCTCATAGATTAGTTCCAAGATATCAGTGAGAACATACAATGTTTGGCTTTTGATTCTTGAGTTACATCACTTAGAATAATAGTCTCCAATCTCATCCAGATCACTGCAAATGCTGTTAATTTATTCATTTTTATGGCTTCATAGTATTGCATCATATATATATACACACACACATATATATGATGTATATATATGATGTACATAGATATATATGATGTATATATCATATATATGTGATATATACACAATATATGTGAGATATATATATATAAAATATATATATATAAAATATATACACATCCGTTCCTTTATCCAGTCATTGATTGATGGACATTTGGGTTGGTTCCATGATTTTACAATTGTGAATTGTGGTGCTATAAACATGTGTGTGCAAGTATCTTTTTCGAATAATGACTTCTTTTCCTTTGGGTAGAAACCCAGTAATGGCACTGCTGGATCAGATGGTAGTTCTACTTTTAGTTCTTTTTTTTTTTTTTTGAGACAGAGTTTCGCTCTTGTTACCCAGGCTGGAGTGCAATGGCACGATCTCAGCTCACCGCAACCTCCGCCTCCTGGGTTCAGGCAATTCTCCTGCCTCAGCCTCCTGAGTAGCTGGGATTACAGGCACGCGCCACCATGCCCAGCTAATTTTTTGTATTTTTAGTAGAGACGGGGTTTCACCTTGTTGACCAGGATGGTCTCAATCTCTTGACCTCGTGATCCACCCATCTTGGCCTCCCAAAGTGCTGGGATTACAGGCGTGAGCCACTGAGCCCGGCCCTACTTTCAGTTCTTTAAGGAATCTCCACACTGTTTTCCATAGCGACTGTACTAGTTTACATTTCCACCAGCAATGTAGAAGTGTTCCCTGTTCACTGCATCCAGGTCAACATCTACTGTTCTTTGATTATGTACATTCTTGCAGGAGTAAGGTGTTATCACATTGTGATTTGATTTGCATTTCCCTGATCACTAGTTATGATAAGCATTTTTTCATATGTTTGTTGGCCATTTGTATATCTTCTTTTGTAAATTGTCTACTCATGTCTTTAGCCCACTTTTTGATGGGATTGTTTGTTTTTTTCTTACTGATTTGAGTTCATTGAAGATTCTGGATATTATTCCTTTGCCTGATGTATACATTATGAAGATTTTCTCCCACTCTGTGGGTTGTCTCTTTGCTCTGCTAACTGTTCCTTTTGCCATGCAAAAGTTCTTTAGTTTAATTAGGTCCCAGCTATTTATCTTCATTTTTCCTGCATTTGCTTTTGGGTTCTTGGTCGTGAAATCCTTGCCTAAGCCAATGTCCAGAAGGCTGTTTTCAATGTTGTCTTCTAGAATTTTTATGGTTTCAGGTCTTAGCTTTAAGCCTTTAATCTATCTTGAGTTGATTTTTGTATAAGGTGAGATGAGGATTCAATTTCATTCTCCTACATGTTGCTAGCCAATTATCCCAGCACTATTTATTGAAAAGGTTGTCTTTTCCCAACTTGATGCTTTTGTTTTCTTTGTCAAAGATCAGCTGACTGGAAGTATTTGGATTTACTTCTGGGTTCTTTATTCTGTTGCACTGGTCTGTATGCCTATTTTTAAACCAGTCCCATGCTGTTTCGGTGACGATGGCCTTATAGCATAGGTTGAAAACAGCTAGTATGATGTCTCCAGATTTGTTCTTTTTGCTTAGTCTTGCTTTGGCTATGCAGGCTCTTTCTTGGTTTCATATGAACTTTAGAATTGTCAATAAATGTGATGCACCACATAAACAGAATTAAAAACAAAAATCACATGATCATCTCAATAGATGCAGAAAAGGCATTTGACAAAATGCAGCATCCCTTTATGAATAAAACCCTCAGCAAAATTGGCATGCAAGGGACATACCCTAATGCAATAAAAGCCATCTATGAGAAACTCACAGCCAATATAATAGTAAATGGGGCAAAGTTGAAAGCATTCCCTCTCAGAACTGGAACAACACAAAGATGTCCACTCTCACCACTCCTCTTCAACATAGTACTGGAAGTCCTAGCCAGAGTAATCAGACAAGAGAAAGAAATAACGGGCATCCTAATCAGTAGAGCAAAGGTCAACCTGTCACTATTTGCTGATGATATGATCATTTACCTTGAAAACCATAAGGACTCCTCCAGAAACCTCCTAGAGCTGATAAAAGAATTCAGCAAAGTTTCCGGATACAATATTAATGTACACAAATCAGAAGCTCTTTTATACACTAACAGTGACCAAGCAGAGAATCAAATCAAGAACTCAACCCCTTTTAAACAGCTGCAAAAGAAATAAAATACTTAGGAATATACCTAACAAAGGAATCAAAAGATCTCTATAAGGAAAACTACAAAACACTGCTGAAAGAAATTATAGATGACTCAAACAAATGGAAACACATCCCATGCCTATGGATGGGTAGAATCAATATTTTGAAAATGGCCATACTGCCAAAAGCTATTGACAAACTCAAAACAATCCCCATCAGAATAACAAATCACTCTTCACAGAATTAGAGATATTTGTCTTGGTAAACAATTTCAGTTTTACGAGTCAAACTTTTTTTCAGTTGTTCAATGTTTTCCTAAATTATACTTTTAATTGATATTCTTTCATTATTTATTGGTTTTGATCTCTTTCTTAGGAACATAAACTTTCTCATTCTATTTTCCACATGTCTTTTCTTGTGGTTTATAATTGGCTTCTTCTTTTCTTATTATTCTGTATTATGGAAAATGTCCTAGGTTTGTCCTCTATAT